GACTTAAGATATTTTGTTAACTATGATTAACTTAGATGTCTCCCATTGAACAAATATTCACCCTAGGTCTGCAAGAATCCCTTAGACGAAACATGTCATGACTACTAACAAGGATTTTTTTGTCATGTTTTTTCAACCGTCTCTTTTTATTAAGTAGACCAGGGTTCATGTTAGTCCGAGGCGATGTAACCATGAGTTCCTGATTGGGTATGTCATTATTTCCCCCATTTTCCATTCTAAGCGAATGGTGATAAATTTAATCTATTTAAAATCTAATCATTGCTACTATATGTTGAGTTTTAACACTTGGAACCCTCAATGACTAGCCTAATCGAAAGTTTTCTCCCATTATCGGGAGGGGTATTTAACTATAGGGACTTGCGTCTATAGAAAACTTCGATCTTAGATCAAAAAATTCTCACAAAATGAGGGAAAATTTCTGGGCAGTACCTTCTTTAAAATTTAATCAGTCACTCTCAACGCGAGAAGCTGAGCCATTGAATTTCCGGAGCCTGCAATTAAGTTAGAGGATAATGTTTTCTTTGGAGGGTTGGTAGCTTAGAGTGTTCCTGAGATTTGATGAGAGAGAAATTGTCCTCTTTTTTTGTCTTTCATTTTAATAGAGATTGCTTAAAGTTTGATGATATCTTTTTCACTCTTATTATCTTAATTTTTTAAGAAACAGATTTTGGTGATCTTTTTTACTTTTATGTTGTACTCATTCATTTATTTAATAGTGGATTTATCCGTGCCTTCTTGTCATTCTCAACTTAACTACTTGAATCTTAGCGTTCTTATCTGTATGGTTGAGTGTATTGTCATCTATTTTGTTTACGTGGGGTTGTTAACATTTGGTTCTACTATATTTGATTATATTACTGTGGCATTGTTAATGAAGGGTAAATTTTTCCTTTTCCTGCAACAATTTGGTCTAAGGGCTACTAAAATATTATTAAGAGATGGTATCTTCTTGCAATCAATGCGTTTTGCTAGCACTGTCAAATAATTTGCTTTGACATATGGAAACTGAAGATGAAATCTTCTTTTCCATAGAGGGATTGCTCGAGGCTTTGAAGGGAAATAATTTCCCAATTGTCATGGAGAAGGAGATGGTTCGAAAGCTTTCAATTCAATTATCCTTAGATTGAGAGACAGTTTATTCTAAATTTAATTTTTCAAGTACTCAACAAGATATGTGGGAAAGGTTAAAATCTCTATAGTCGATGATTTCACTTACCAATTGTCTCTATTTGAAAGTATAATTATGATCATTTACGTACATATCACTCAAGTCCTATTTATTTACATATCTAACACCAATACTTTGCCTTTTACATTTAGACTACCCAAAACTTTCATATTACATGAAAAAATACCACCATTTTAACTTTTAAAAAGTCAAATACACCTTTTAATGCATAGTTAAGGTGGCATTTATATAAAAATTGAAGTTTTGGTGTTAGATATGTAAATATATAAGAATTGAGTGATATTTATGTAAATCTTTCTATAGTTATTTGCATTTCACATGTAAGAGGTTACATAATTATGATTTGGCTGTAGTATATTTGGATGTGAAAATTAATGAGGAAAATAAAGCTTTGATTTTGCTTTGCTCTCCACTATCCTCTCACGAGTAAATTATTATCATCTCATTTTGTGGGAAATATATATTTTTCTTTAGGTAGGTGAATTCTAATTTTCTATCAAACGGGTTGAGGAAGATGTAAGGAGAAAGCTCAACAAGGGGCTATTTGTGAAGATAAGTAGCAAGAAAGAAGAAAAAAGGAAATATTTAAATTAAAGTCCAAGAAAAATGGCAGTACCATGACAAGATGTATATACACTGAAAATATAAATGTAGATCACTAAGGTCAAGAAAAAAATTATAAGAAATGCGAGTCTAGCTTTGAGGCAGTATTAGTAGTAGACATTGTTTAAAATTATGCAATTTAACGGCTTCCCTTTAGGTTCGCCAAATTTTGATTCAATCTTCAAGAAATCTTAGGTCTTCGAGTTAAAATCTTTTGCTAGAACAGGATAGCTTGATAAAAATCATGATTAGAATGAGTAGAGGAACGTGATCAAGGACTATGTTACTCAGGCAGCTGAACAACAGACAACTAAAGGAGCATGCAATCAATCGAAATTAGAGAGAAATTTAGCATTTATTAGCCTGGGAGGCCTTACGCTTGAACATCTTCATATAATCGTTTTAGTGGTGTCTCACATCTCTTGAATAAATTTGATAAAAAAAACATTTAGAGCAGGATATCTACTTGTTTTCAAAGCAATGATAGGATCTTTAATCTCATCTGGAAGAAAAAAGATAATTTAGAAATTTCAAGATGAAATGATCTTTAGAAGAATAAAGCTTAGAAAATCATTGGAATTGCAAGCGCTTTTGATTTGTCAAAGAATCAATTTGATGAATGAAATTTATTTTCCATTATCAATTTTGTAAAAAAAAAAGTTATTATCTTTAAGAAATTGCCTGCCTTTGGATATTAGATGCAGATAAATTTCTTCTTCCTTGAACTAATTATAGTGCCATTTTCAATCATTTTTATAATCCTAAAGATCTAGAGAGGGCATTATACTTGGCTGAACTTTAATTTTGATATCATTTAGTTTATTGATCTTTGATTTTTTTCTCTTATCAGTTTCATGATAGGACTCTTAACCCCATCTCTTTGATTTAAGTAATTTTTTCATCAACTAGTGATCATTTCCTAGAAGCTATCTAAGCTAAACGCAATAATTTTCAAAATTTAATAGTTGAGACTTAAAACGTGAGTTTGGTTAAAAGAAAAATGATTTGGCAATGATCAAAGAAGTTGACAATGCCAACAATAATCTTTAATGCAAATACATAGTAACCTTAAAATTAGGAAGATTTATATACATATTACATACCACACCATTGCTATGTATTTAACATTTCTAAAACCTAAACTTTAATTTTTACATATATTCCACCTTATTTATGCATGAAAAGGTGTATTTCACTTGTTAAAAGTTAAATTAATGATATTTTTTATGTCATATGAAAGATTTTGTTGGTAGAAATGTAAAAAAAGTCAACTTTAAGTGTTAGATATGTAAATTCATAGAAACTGGGCGACATGTATGTAAAAGCCGCTTAAAATTATCACATAACATCTAAGTTGACGGCCATATTGATCCAAGCTTGAAAAGTTCATTTTAGAAACGAACTCTGCTATCCTTTTAGATAATGAATATACTGTGAACATAATAAAAGAATTTCATTAGAAAGTGTATAGTAATAGAAAATGCACCAATCATGCAGCGAAGAATATGCAAATAAGGCTGTCAGAAAAGCTTGTTTGTGTTCGATCGTGTTTTGCTTGATAATTAGCTCATATTTGACTAGTCTTTATAAGTTCGTTTATTTGAGAAATTAAGCATGACAAAGGCCTAAACTTTAGCATAAGAAAATATAAATTTAGCAGTTTATTTTTTTAAGGTTGTTTTATTTTTTTGCAATTTTATTTTAATATAATCATCCCTTTGGTAACTATAGATAACTATATACCAAAGAGTTTTAGCTCAACTGATATATTCTATGTTTTTTAGTGTAAAGGTCATATATTTGATTTTATTCTGACATTTTTTAAAACTAAATATTCATTTGGTCCTTGCGTTGAATTTAATCTGTAACAGACATTTTGCTCTACTTCTATTCAATACAGATTTGGAACAAGTGTATGTTTATAAAAAAAACCTGGGCATTTACATACATACCTCCCGATTCTTATGCCGAACATTACCTTTTATATTTATATTTTATAACGCCTATCTTTTATATCATATCAAAAGTACCACTATTTTAACTTTTTAAAAGCGTAATACACCTTTTCATGCATGGGTAAGGTGGCATGTATGCAAAAATTGAAGTTTACGTGTTTTATAGGTTAATACATAGGAATTAACTGGTATGTATGTCAAGCTTCCAAAAATCTATAAATAAATGCACGTTTTCAAATAAATTGTAAACCTGAGGCTTTGGATGCTAAGAAGCACAATCCTGGTATTACATTTGTTTTATGGCATTCACTAGATCAAAGTTTTGACGTTTTTGTAATGAATGTTTTTCATAGATTTTGGCACACTTCACATTTTCTTTGGGCGGTTTGTTTATTTCTTAGTTTTTTTATATTATCGCTTTAGCTGGAAGCTTGCAGAGACAAAAACATTTTTTTTTAATTGCCATGGGATCATCCTGTTAAATCTCTGATACATGTATCTGTTTTGAACTTGTTAAATGTTCAGATATGTAGATTAAGTTTGGCCATTCTGTTTTCGCCATACAAATACATTTTGGGGCACTTACATGCATTCCACAGAATTCTCATGTATTTACCTATCTAACACCTAAATATTCATATTTTACATGCGTATCACTCAAATGTTTAACATTACAAAAAAAAAAGAAAAAAAAAACACACAATTACTATTTTCTTAGAAGTGAAGTACAAGTTTTCATGCCTAGGTTTATGACACCAAGGAGTTATAAATGTAAAATTTGAAAATTGTGTGTTTGATATGTAAATTTATAAGAATTGTTAGGTTGTATGTAAATTTACCATACATTTTAAATGCTTCAACTTTATGCACTCTTTTACCGTTTAACAAAATGTTTTTGGGGCATTTACATGCATACCACCAGCTTCATATGTATTTACATATCTAATTCATAAATTTTGCTTTTTGCATTTATACCGCCCAGAATTTTCACATCACAATAAAAATACCACCATTTTAACTTTTAAAAGTTAAAATACATATTTTTACTCATAAGCAAGGTGGTGTGTATGTAAAAATTGAAGTTTTAGGTGTTAAATATTTAAATACATGGGAATTGAGTGGTGTGTATGTCAATCTACAAAAAATAGTTTAGCTTTACAAATTGTGGAGATTTTATAGTAAATAGACTTAGAAATTTGATTATATTTTCATTTCGTTTTCATGATTTGTAGGTGGCGGACTTGGTTTATTCATGGGAATGTTTCTGGGCGCTTTGGATAATCCAATAGTGCAAGAAGAAATGAGTGGAAGGCAGCAATTTATATACACTGCTAAGCAGATGGGGAGGAGAAGCATTAATTCTGCTAAGGCATTTGCTGTCATGGGCTTGGTGTTTTCAGCAGCTGAATGTATTGTAGAGAAGGTAATTTAAGAAGAATTTGGAATATGAAGTAACTTTTGATAAGGAAATTTTACATGCATGGCACCCATTTCTTATGTTTTTACATATCTCACGCCTAAACTTTAATATTTATATACATAGCACTTCGGTGCTTTAAACCTATACATGAAATGATGTATTTTCACATTTAAAAGTGGTGACAGTGCAATTTTTGGTGTGATATTAAAAATTTGAGTGCGATGTGTGTATATATGAAATTTTGTTGTGAGATATGTAAAGTCATACGAATTGTGTGCTATGTATGTAAATGCTCCTTTTTTTTTTTCAGGCAATTTTAGACACCTAGCATACAATTCTTGTGTATTTACGTATCTCACATGCAAACCTTCATATTTACATATATAGCACCTTGGTACTTTAAGCAGATGCATGAATGTGTATTTGACTTTTAAAAAGGGGTAATATTATTACTTTTTTTTTGCGATGTTAAAAATTTGATTATTATGCATCTGCTTAAAGTACCAAGGTGCTATATATGTAAATATGAAGGTTTGCATGTGAGATACGTAAATACACAAGAATTGTATGCTAGGTGTCTAAAATTGCCTGAAAAAAAAAAAGGAGCATTTACATACATAGCACACAATTCGTATGACTTTACATATCTCACAACAAAATTTCAAAACATTAAAACTGAAAGTTTAGGTGTGAGATATTTAAAAACATTAAAACTGTATCCTATGTATGTAAATGCCCCTATTTTTCTAGGAAATTTTATATACCTAGCACACAATTCTTATGTATTTACGTATCTCACACCAAAACTTTCATATTTACATACATAGTACTTTGGTGCTTTAAGCCTATGCATGAAAATATGTATTTCACTTTTAAAAAATAGTAATAGTACTATTTTTTGTTGTGATATTAAAGATTTGAGTATTATACATGTAAATAAGAAAGTTTAGGTGTGAGATATGTAAATAGATATGAATTGTGTACTATGTTAATGCCCCCTTTTTTAATTTACTTAGGGCCGTTTACATGTATACCACCCAATTCTTACGTATTTGCATGTCTAACATCTACAGTCTACTTGATTATATTGCTACCGCTTAAAATTTTCATATCATATAAAAAAAACTGCAATTTTAATTTTTAAAAAGATGAAATATATCCTTTTCATGCATATGTAAGGTCACATACATAAAAACTGAAGTTTAGGTGTCAGATATATAGAGACATGAGAATAAAATGGTATTTTTGTGAATCTTCCATTTAATTAGTATTGATTCTATATTCTTTATCTCAAGGCACGAGCAAAGCATGATACGACAAATATAGTTGTGGCTGGCTGTGTTACAGGTGGGGCTATATCAGCTAGAGGTAAGCAACTTTATTTATTTTTTGAGCCATTTAAAGGTACTGATTATAGTTCTGGTTTTTGTTCTTTATTCTTTCCAAATTTATTCTAGGAATGTTGATTTTTATAAATTTTCTTTTCTTTTATTTTCTCACAACAAAATTATTTCGATAAGGATTGATAGTCGCTACTTCATTCAAGATTTTACGAGAAAATATTACATGCGGCGGACCGCATATCCAGACAACAGTCCGGATGCGGGCACGCCATTGTGTGTCGCACGGCGGCCCATCTAGACGGTTGCCTGAACGTGCGGTCGCCACACGTTATATTTGCTCACATTTTACACCCACTTTTCTGGATGCTGAAGAAGTTGCAAAAACAAATATGGGGTTTTGAATGCTTAAAATGTTAAGACAACTTAATATAGAGAAATTCATGGTATATTAAAGAATAGGGGCTTTCACATACATACCACTCAATTCCTATGTTTTTGCACATCTAACATTCAATCTTTGCTTTTTACATTTATACCACCCAAAGATTTTGTCACATAAAAAATCATTTAAATACCACTATTTTGACGTTTAAAAATTGAAACACATCTTTTCATGCTTAGGCAATGTGACATACATGCAAAAAGTTAAAGTTTAGGTGTTAGATATGTAAATACATAAAAATTAAGTTTTATGTATGTAAATCCTCCTAATGAATAATAACACGAGTTCTGAGTAGAATAATATGTAGGGACAGTTAAATACATATCACCCAAAATTTTTCTACTTACAAAAACGAGCACCTGTATCATATTTTTTGAATGCAATTTACATGTGCCATGATCAAGCTTATTGGGAAATTGGTAAAACCGGAAAACACTAGTTGGGTTTATTTTGTGCATTTCAATATTATAGGTGTAAATTTGAAAAACAGATGCAAGAGAGTGCTAGTTTTGTTTGTATGTTTTTAGTGCTGTGTATGCCCCATGGTAAACTTATCAAATATGAAAATTTATAAAAAAAATCTGTGATTTTTCAAAGGCTAAGTAAACAGATACTCCCAAAAGGTTAAGGCGATTGATTCAAATGTGCAGAATCATTAGAAAGATGAGTGTATAATATGTAAGGATGATTACATAGCAATCACCAGTAAGGGCAGTGTAATAATGCAAACTCAAGTTTCTCATATACTTCAAGGAAGATTTACATACGTACCACTTCATTCCCATGTATTTATCTATCTAACGTCTACACTTCAAGTTTTGCATGCATACCACCTTGCCTATGCATGATAAGTAGTATTTCACTTTTATTAAAATAGTTGTGTTTTGATGTGATTTGAAGATTTAGATGGTATAAAAGTAAAAAAGCAAAGTTTAGGTGTTAGATATATAAGTGCATAGAAATTGGTTGGTATTTATGTAAATGCCCCATACTTCAAACATCGCACAAAAATGCAAATGCATCTTAGCATAAGAAAAAAATTGTTGCCCCATACTTCTTTCATTTAGGGACCACCAAAAGTCCTCGGAACATACCGAAAACGGATGTGAAGTTTACATATATACCAGACAATTCTTATGCATTTACATAGTGACATACCTAACACTTAAACTTTTATAATTACATTTATGACATTGTCATAAACTTGTGTATGAAAAGGTGTATTTCAATTTTAAAAAGCAATTAAAAACAACATTTTTGATGTGATATTAAACATTTGATTTCTAAGCATGTAAATATGATAGTTTAGGTGTCATATATGTAAATACGTAAGAATTGTGTGGTATGCATGTAAATGTCCAAAAACAAATGGGGGCATTTACATGTACCATACCATTCTTATGCATTTACAAATCCAACACTAAAACTTTCATATTTATATACAAAACACTCTAATCTTTAATATCACATAAAAAATACCATTACTACTAACTATTTAAGAGTGAAGAACACTTTTTCAATGCCTAGGCATGTAAATATCAAACTTTAGCTGTTTGATAAGTAAATACAAAGGAATTGTGGGGTATGTATGTAAATTTCCAAACACATGTAGACAAATCTTTATTTTATGTCCTACAAAATATATTGAACTGTCCAATATTTATCTAATTGAGATATAGGCTAATAACAACTCAAAAGTATATGCTGAATAGTTCAAATAAAATTAGTTATGTCAGAGTAATAATTAATTAGAGTTAATCAAATCTGTTTAATAAGATAAGGGGAATCAATGCCACGAGATGTCGGCTGATCATATAAACAAGCTCAGTCATGGGCAGGTATAAATAATTGGAGCATTTCGATACATGTCACTCAATTCTTATGTATTTACATATCGATCACCTAAATCTTGCATATCACATATAAAATAACAATATTTTAGCTTTTGAAAGGTGAAATCCGCATTTTCATGCATAGGTAATGTGGCATATAGGTAAAAATTGAATTTAGGCTTCAGATTTGTCAATACATAGGAATTGAGTGGTATGCATGTAAATCATACCACTGAAATCTTATGTATTTACATATCTAACACCCTAAAGATTAAGTTTTACATTCATATCACATAAAAAATACCACTTTTTTCACTTAAAAAAATGAATACACTTTTTCATGCATAGGTATAGTAAAAATTGAAGTTTGCCCGTCAGAAATCTAAATACATAAGAATTAAGTGGTGTGTTAGTGAATTTTCATGAGCACATAGTTTTTTCTGCTTAGATTGATTGGCTTCTACCTCCTTTAGCCATTTATGATATATTTTGTTTATATTTTGTTCAGGTTTATATGGTTTGTGATCAAATTAATGCATGGATGGCCATTCTCTTAAGCCTTTATTCTGTGCTCTCTTTTCTTACAGGCGGTCCAAAAGCAGCATGTGCTGGGTGTGCAGGATTTGCTGCGTTCTCAGTCCTCATTGAGAAGTTCCTTGATCGCCATGATTGAAACTTCGGTAGATAGTCCTCCATATAAGGCTTAATTTTATTTTTTTGCCTGATAACTTATTCATTCCTTATAAAAATACCATTTTTTTAAAAAAATTCTGAGCAAATCTCTCAAATCAAACAATGTATAAGCAAATTTTGAATTTGGGTGTCGCTGCAGCCGTCGCTGTCCATTTTTGTAATTTGTGATTATCTGTTCTGAATAGAGATCAATGAGATGTAATATTACATGTCTTATTTTACACACTCTCGACCAAAATAAATGCCAAGCTTTTGTTTACCGTGAGCTTTCAAGTAAATATGTGCAATTCGACTACCCGAGTTTATCTCTCTCTACCACTTGCAACAAATTATTTCTTTGTTACATTTATACGACTTAAATCATTTCATTCATGGTTAAGATGTTCTGTATGTAAAAACTGACGTGCAGGTGTTTGATATGTAAATACACAGAAATTGAGTGGTATGTATGTAGATTTTCCTATCTCTTATGGTTGGAATATGAACAACATCATCATCCAGAGACGAGAACAACAAACTGCATTGTATTTACATCAGAAAACACACAGGTGGATGGATTGAATAACCTCAAGATTACCAAGAGTATTCTGCTACTGAGTCCACCAAACATAAAAATTCAGGTAAAAATGTGCTCCAACTCGTGGCACATTGTTTAGAAACACAGTGAAGAATTCTAAAAGAGCTGAATTCAAAAATTCAGGTAAAATTACTTCTTTTTATTCTCTTGAGCTAGTCATGAATAATTGAGATCAGAATAGTTGCCTCCTCAGTATCCGGGCCGTTCTCAACTGTTAAGAAGAACAGAATCACAAGCTTTTTAAAAACTCAAGCCTCCTGAGGATTAGTCTGACATTTTATAAAGTATAGGATTAAAATGAACTAAAATGCAACAGAGTTTGATCCCAGAGATGCGAGGAAGAAACCTGGCAGAGTAATTCGTGGAGATGAAATTACTATTCCTTCAGGCTTTTCATCAGTTCTCTTCCCTGCAGGTTTGTCTCCATCTCTATCTTCATCAGCAGACTCTCCTGCAGCAGAAGTGGTTGAGATGACAGCAATGGGGACATGCAGATGAGAGATGAGCTGTTCCATGAGCCCGCCGCCATTGTTGGACTTCGAGCTACCCTTCTCTCCATCTGCTTCCAGCTTCCCTTCATGGTCGTCTCTATCTTCATCTTCTTCAGCTGACTTTCCTGCTGCAACAGAAGCGCTTGAGATGCCGGGAATGGGGACAGGCAGATGAGAAATGAACTGCTCTATGAGCCCGCCGCCATCGTCGGACTTGGAGGTACCCTTCCCTTCATCTTCTTCTTCTTCTTCTTCTTCTTCTTCTTCTTCTTCTTCTGCCGTGTCTTCTGTTTTTCCTGCCTTGTTATTAAAATCTGATAAAGTGTTCAAGAGCTCGTCCACACAATCCTCCATTGATTTCATTAAAATGGTTCTTTTGCGAGTATTGGTGAGTTTTATATAGATGGAATGCGAATTAAAGGAGGAGACGCGTCGCCTGCTTTGGGGAGCGTAGCTCGCCAAGCTGAGGGATGTGGTCTGTTTCCGCTTCTCCACGTGTTCTTGCCGGCCTATGTTGTTGCCACTCTAATTTTATATATTTATATTTCTAACACAATTTTTTTATTTTTTATATTTATATCACTTAAAATTTTCAGATCCCGAAAAAACATCAACCGAGCCATTTGGTTGTAGAGAAGCTAATTTTATCATTTAGAGGGAATATAAATTAAATGTGTGATGTATACATGTATATGGTGCAACATACCCGACTTGTTGATTGTCATTTGCAACTTATTAAGAAAATATTATAAAACTGCTGGAAACTAATTTTATGTTCAAAAATCTATGATAATCATTACATTTTTTGTTTTTTAGAAAGTCAGACCGAAGCTAGAAAGCTGCCTCTGCATCTAATCAAGATCGGTGGTAAAACACATATTTCAGCGACAGTTTTTTGAAAGAACCTGTCAAAACGTAATTTATTTAAACAAACAAATTACGATGTAGTGCCACACCGCCACCCCAAATGGACCTTTAATCTTTTAATACTAGTACTATATCTGTTAGCATCACATACAAATTAAAACCACTAGTAATGACAAGAATAAACTAATAGTAATAAAATAAATCTTAAAAAAATATAGGAGACTAGTGAAGCTCTCTCACATATAGAGAGAACATTACGTACAGAATCCGTATGAATGCAAGCTACATATACTACATTATTATAAATTATTGCACACGGAGTCCGTATACACACAGACTCCCGCACATAATAATTTTTCCTATTCTAACCTCAGCCATTATTCTTACAATTATACTCTTACGCTCAAAACCAAGCCGCAAACTACGTCCATTACTCTGATTCAATTCAGGCATCCGCAGCGCAGGAAGGACTGGTGGTGTCAAGCATCACAACGCCACCGGCAGTGTTGACCGCTCGGAGATAGCAGGTATTATCATCCCTATATTTGTAAGACGAGCGGGTGGATGCGCTGCCCCAAACTGGTGCGTCGCCGCGCATCAACGCCGATCCCTCCGCGTCCTGTCGATCGGTGAGCGTGCTGGTCGTCATGGCTTGGCCTTGGCTGAGAACCACGGATTCGAGGAGTTGGTGGAAAAGTCTGGCTTTAAGGAAGATGGATCCGCCTGCTGCGCTGACGCTGGTTGTCTGAATCTGAAGCGGTGTTTCGAGCAGCATTTGTGCGCGGCCGAGGGTTTGATGCCCGATTGACATCTCCACCATCATCCTCTCCTTGTTGTTTACCTCCACCTATCAAAATATTATGCCTCACATTATTATATTTGGAGAAAATAATATTATCAAAATATAATGTTATGTGTCTGACAGAGAGATGTGATTAAATGTGCAGATATGAATATCAGATTTTAGCTGTTGCATATGCAATTATATAAGAATTGTGTGGTATATATGTAAATTTCACTTTTATTTTTTTGCGTCATGATAGTTTTCTCAAAAAAAAAAAGCATGTGGTGGTTTTGTAACTTGTAAGTGTATAAATACCTGCGTAACAGCCCCACGATTCTGCACCTCGATCTGGCTCTTGAACTTGATCTTCTGCCTCACCGCGGTGCTGATATTCCCCCGGGAAGAGCTTACCCACCCCGTGAACTGCCACAGCCCCTCCGCATTGATCTCCGATTGCCCGTCCTGGTTCCTCCACTCCGCATTCCGGTTCACCTTCACCGGCGGCACGTAGTAATGCACCAGCCCCGCCCTAACTGCGTCCGACCACAGATCCACCCACACGTGCAGATTCCCACTCACTAACCAATACGGCAGCGCATCCCGAACCCCCAGCCCGATCTCATGCGTCCTCCCGTCCAGCAGAAGCCCGAGAAATGGAGTTATGTCGAGATCGTACGACGGCATATCGAAGGCCCCGATGGACGCCACGGGAGACCAGAAGAAAGGGTTTATGGATCGGGGGTAGATGACGGGGAATGGTATGTGGCCGCCGACGAACTGTCCGTCGATGGTGGCGTATAGTTGCCGGAAGCCGCCGTTTGTGCGTGGGGAGGAGAGGTTCGAGAAGGGGGATTGGCGAAGGTAGGATGTGCGGAGAGGGTTTGTGTACCAGAACTCATCGTCTCCGTGGTAGGAGACGAAAATTTCGAGTACGGCTCGGTACGCGTTCATTGGGAGGGCGATTGGGGATGTTTGGATGTGGGTTTCGTTGTTGATGCGGAACCAGAAACCGGTGGTGCCGAGATAGCCGGTTGGGTTTGAGATCGGGAGAATAATGTCAGCGGGTTCGTGGTAGAGTGATCGGGTGTTCGGATGGGCGGCGGCGGTGGCGGTGGCAATGGTGGTGGTGGCGGCGCCGCGGTAGAAATGGAGGGAAACATTGGCGGAGTAGACTCCGGGTAGGCGGGCGGGGGAGTTGGAGTTTTCGAGCATCATGGAGACGATCCCGCGGCCGCGAGCGGCTGTGTAGGAAGGATCGCCGAGGCGGCGAAGAATGGCTGCGTAGCGGGAGACGTCTTTGCGGACGGTCCAGAAGGCACCGGGTGCCATGGGGAGAGGGGTGGTGGTGCGGAGGATCTCGGAGCCGTCGATCCAGACGGCGGCGATGCGATCGCGTTGTAGATCGGAGGCGGAGACGGAGAGTTCGAGGATGACGCGGGTCCAGGGAAAGGGACATTCGCGGGGGTGGGTGTAGTTAGCGGCGGCGGGAAGGGAGCCGGCGGTGTCGGCGAACTCCTGCTGGAGGAGGAGGACGGAGCATTTGGGGGTTTGGCCGGCAAGGATGGCAGGGGGTAGGGTGGGATCTAGGTGCTCGAGGCTGATGCTGGGAACAGGGCCGGCACTCTGGGTAACTATGCCGACGGATAGCAAGAGGAGGAAGACGGAGATACAGCAGCGGTTCATTTTTAGGCGGAATGAGAGGGAGATAGACAGAGAAGGAGCTCGCCGGAAAGTTAACTTCCGGCAGGTGTTGGATATTGCTGGCGTTGGGCGGTGGTCGGAATAAATAGGAGGAGGAAGTAGGAGGAGGAGGAGGGAGTTATTTAAAATGTGCTGTGTGATCGGAGGGAACGTTCGATGTGGTTTCGTAGCGGACCGTTCTGTAGTACTGGCTGGAGGTGAGGCTTTTCTTCTGCTGGGTAGAATCCGATGGCTGTGGAACTATTTGGTACGTTCAATGCTAGCCTGATTTACATACATACCATTTAATTCTTATGTATTTACATATTTTAACGGTTGAACTTTTAGTTTTTAGATGAATACCCGTCTGCTTATGCATGAAGATGCATGAGAAGATGTATGTAATACTAAAGATTTAGGTCGTATAAATGTAAAAACTTAAATTTTAGGTGTTAGATGTTGATTTGATGTGTTATTAGGGAAGCAAACAAACCGAGTGTTCCACTATTTACTCGTAGCTCAACTTGATAAGAGCATTGTTTGATTAAGTTATCAAATAAATTGAAATAGTTTTGTAAATAATTGGTAGTTAAATGAACAAGGTTGAGTGAATGAATATTTGTTTGACTCGTTTAGTTTTTTCTTGAGGGCATGTTCATCTTCGTGGCTCATTGAGTTAGATAACAAATGGTTTGATTAAGGAGTTTGTGAATATTATCCTTTAATGCTCGTGAACTAGTTTCATAGTAGGCTCGACTAAGGGTCGGTTGTTTTGTTAAACAAGTAGCTCATTGAACCATAAACGAATCAAGCTCAAATCAAGCTAGAGCTCAAGCTCGAACATCATTTTCTAAAACAAGCTTGAGCTCAAGAATTGTACTAAAAACTCGAACTGAGATCGAGTCAAGCATTAACAAGATTCAAACAAATGAGCTTGAGCTCAAACAAGCTCCAACCCGCCTTGCCTCGATTCGTTTGTAACCATTTATGTCATAAAGAAATTTTTATCATCATGCATGAATCTTGATTTTAAGCAAGAAATATTCTAAATTCAAATTCAAGATCACATGGGCCCCAATTTCAGCAAGTTTAGTCAGACTAAGCGTCTTGATAATACATTCCATTCTAGCTTCAGAAGGCATGATGGGCATTCCATTGCATTGTCACCTTTGCTATAGTCAGAATGGGAGGGAATTTGAATTACCTAAGCTAGGCTCTCCATTGCACAATTGACATTCTCGGCAGCATTCAGAGAGTGATATGAAATCTCCAAGCCTAGTTTCTTGTATCAGTAGGTTCTTAAGAAATAAAATTTCTACCCAAATTTAAAATTTAAAGAAAAAATTATTTTAAAACTCAAAATCAATCACTAAAGTCTTAGTAATAATCAATAAAATCAAATAAAAACTAATATGGACAACGAACAATTTGCACTTATATAGTCATTCTTTTCCATTCCCCACACACATCTCCTATAGCACATAAAGGGCCATCCAACATATGAGGATCACAACTTTTTGTGGTTGAGCTTGCTTGTACTCTGATTAGTTGCACATCAATCAACATATAAAATTAAGTCTGAGTAAAATGAAAAATCAATAAAATGTAATAAGACCTTTTCTTTTTTCTAATAAACAACAACCCCATCTATTTTACATTATTATGGCAAGGCCATATGATTTTGAGATATTTAGCAGGGTTAGTTGATAGTCATTTCTAGATAGGATTATAAGTCTAGTGGAATCAGATTTGATTTTCTCCTATGTAGGACTAAGTTATAAGTCATTTTTGCAGATCTATAGACTAAGTTTGAGGTTGTACATTGTCAGTAGACCTCATTTTTAGTATTAAGTTCTTATTGTTCATCCAACTATAACATAACTCCTTCCCTCTTAAACTTTCTCATGATATGATGTCGTTAGGATTTAAATACTATCTTTTTAATAAAATAACCAACTTACATCAAATAAATTCTTCAATTTCAAAATCATAAAGACTAACTATAAAATAGTAGAAGTGTTATTGAGTTTCTCAGTATCCAAGTGCTTCATACTTTTTCCATTTTGGATCCCAAAAAAGCTATTCCTATTTTAACCATATTCCAATGATAATAATTATGAAAACTCAACTTTGAACTCATGAATATTTAAGCCTCAATCTTAATCTAGAGGATTCTTAAGAGAAGATCTTTCTTAAGATATAATTACTATAGATGTTTGTCCTTGTAGGAAGCTTACGACTTAAGTTAAAATAAAACCGTATCTAATTTTCAATTTGGTGGGGAAAAAAATTATTGGTTAATGCATACTCATTAAATTTAAATTAATTTTTTTATTTGAGCAATAAAGCTGTATAGTGATACTTTCATCTTTCGAGATGATATATTATCTCACTGACATATTTGACCACCCAAAAATAAATAAAAATATTCAAAATTTACATGATGTCATAAAAATAAAATCATCAGTCTCTCTTAAAGTCACTAACACACACACTCTCTCTCCCCTCCCCCTTCTAATTTACGATCCTAAATTTATTATTTCATGCTCTTATTTTAATTCATATTTTGTACTTAACTAGTAGCAGTTTTAACTTCCAATATAATGAATCATAATGCTAATATCATTGCAAGAGTGCATTATGACGATGATAATTGAGATATTCGATCGTGTAAATGCCCATCTCCATGAAATTATTCTTCATTTTGCTCCAACCTGTTTAAGAGCCTTAAACCAAAATATGCTTTTAATATGATTTAATCTCAATTTATAATTATTTAAATTAATTTCAAGTCATTCAATTTGGAGTTAACTATGAAAAATGTTCTTCATGAAATCAAGAAGTCAAAATTTTGAAAAATCATCTAAATCTTTTGCATAAGCACAATCATTCTATAAGTCTAGTTTCATGCCCGAAACGTTAATCCTTATAATGATATCAAGAATACCAATGACATAGAAACCAAAAAACCTTTGAGGCAACCATTAAAGAATACACTCTTTAACTTATTGAACATTTTTCGTTGATAGCCATTGATAACTTCACTTTTATCTAAATGGGGTTTCTTTCAATCAAACTTCTCAAACATGTAAAAAGAGTGCCTTGAATTGATGAGAAATCTCATTTATGTTGTGCTTACAAAAATGGGAAAAGAATAATAATTCAAGATTTACAAGGACAAATGTAAAAAATCTACCAAAAATATTAAAATTTAAAATGGGGGGAAAATCATAATCTCTCAATTCCTTAAAAATCTAAAGTCAAGACATCTCAACTTCAACATAGGAAGGCTCTTCAAAATGCTCTATGAAATATTATTTCCTAGATAAATCTCAAACATGTTAAATTGGTTGAAGAAAATCTTAAATACCAATTTTAAATATTCTTGAATTCATAATGATGGTATGAATTCATTAAAAGAGAATGTTACACATAGGATATAAGTTAGACATCCATTATAAGGAGATGTTTCCACAAGAATCAATCTTCAATGATGATTAAAATGAGTGGCTTTACACTTAGAGATAGAATGCAAAATGAATATATCCATGATAGGGTTGGTGTAGCTCCAGTGACAGACAAAATTATCCGATTAGAAGAGTAGACATCTTAGATTCAACTTATGTTAAGAAAGACAGAGGTAGATCAGGAAGACTTGAGCTTATTGTATAAAACATGATCTTAATTTATTAGAATTAAATGAAAATATGACACTAAATAGGACGCAATGGTAAATAGGACGCAATGGACGCAATGGAGGAAAAGGATTCATGTAACCAACCCCACTTAGTGTAAAGGTTTTGTTGTTGTTGTTGTTGTTGTTGTAATTAGTGAAAGAAGGGAAGTGGTTTAGTATTCATAACATTCACTTTCTCTCAAAAGCTTAAGAATTTTCAGGCAGCTACATATGTTGTGTGTGTACCTAAGGATTAATGGTTAAAATCTTTGTATTCTCTATATTGTTTTATTTTATGCAGTGTTGTTGTAATCTATATGTTTTTACTAATGATTTTCAAAAGTAAATCGACTTATTTTTACAAACATTCAACATGTGTAAATTTTTAAAAACAATTAAACATATTACAACATAGCAAATATATTTTATTTCAAAAAAAAACATAAATAAAAAAAAATTAAAAGGAGTCCCAAACAACTCTAAGATTCCATAATCCCCGGCCGCGGCGGCGGCGGCGGCAGCGGCAGCGGCGCACGATGAGCTCTCCTCGTCCTCCTCGAGCTTCCCTCCCACCATATTAACCGTCCTCAAATAACACTTTTTATCATCCCTAAACTTATAGATGGATTTGGTATCCCCACTCCCCCACACCACCTCCCCATCCTCCCCCACCAGCACTGAACCCTCCGAATCCTGCTTATCCGTTATCGTGCTGAACCAGTCCTCCGTCTTCCCCTCCGTCGAACTCCTCGCCTCCATCATCTCATGCGAAAGCTTCGTTTTCCTTATCGTCGTCCCCCCTCCCCCATTCGAAGTCACCGTCACCAGATTCAACGGCGCCTCCGTCTCCACCACCACCCTCCCCACCACCACGTGGTCCTTCTCTATCCTCAGATTCGTCCTCGCCTTCGTTTCCATCTCCACGCTTTTCATCGCCCCTTTCTCCTCCACCTCCACGTGGCTCTTAAACTTAAACTTATGCCTCACGCTCGTCGTCACATTCCCCGCCGACGAACTCACCCACCCCGAAAAACGGATGATCACCTGCCCCTCCATTTCCGACTTCCCATCCGCATTCTTCCAGTCCGCCTGCCGGCCGAGATGTAAAGGCGGCACCTTGTACCGAACCAGATCCCCCTCCACGGCGTCCGACCACGCATCCAGCCATAAATGGAGATTCGCATCTACCAGCCAGTACGGCTGGCTCTCCTTCACCGTCAGACCGAACTCATGGGGCTTCCCGTCGAGAAGCTTTCCGACGAAGGGAGTAAGCTCGAGATCATAAGAAGGATGGTCGTATGCTCCGATCGCCGCCACCGGAGCCCAGAAGAACGGATTCACCGATCCCGGCGAGATCACCGGGAAAGGAACCGCGGACCCGACGTACCGCCCGTCGATCGACGCCACCACTTGCCGGAAGCCGCCGTTCGGTTTTCTCGACGAAAGACCATCTTTTCCGGCGACTGACACGTCGTTGGACCGGAGGGGGTTCGCGTACCAGTACTGATCGTCGCCGTGGTTGGACACGAAGACCTCCAGCACGGCTCTGTAGGTGTTGTTGGGAATGAGGACGGTGCGGGTGCGGACGTCGGTCTGGTTGGTGACCCGGAACCAGTGATCCGGGCCGGAGGGGTTGGAGATGGGGATGATTAGGTCGGCGGGTTCGCGATAGAGGCCGCGGATGATGGGGTGGGAGGTGAGGCGGTGGAGTGCGCCGCGGTAGAAGTGGAGGGTGAGGTTGAGGGAGTAGAATCCGGGGAGGGGGGAGTGGGAGGGTTTTTGGAGGGCG